GGGGCCCGATCCGCCACCGGAGGCGGGTTGTAGTGGGAGCCACAGCTGTCAGTGTTGCACCCAGGGACTGCGCCCCCGCGGGGCCGACCGGGCGCCAGGGCGGAGAGGAGGGGCGGCGAGGGGCGGGGCGCGCGGGGCGGGACGGAGGAGGGGCGGTGGCACCGGCTGGCGGCTCCGGCTGGGCGCGCCGAGAAGTCCCGCTCCGAGAGCTGCGAGCGCCTGGAGTAAGGCGCGCTCGGTACAATCCAGGGAGCGAAGTCCAGAGCGCCAGAGCAAGGGCGGGAGAAAGGGGTGTCCCCGCGTCGCCACCAGGGACCCCTTTCCCTGCTACGATCCAGCCCCGGGTAGCCGGAGGCTCAGGCGGCGTGCTGCCGATGGAGTTCACTTGAGCCGGGAACAGGCGGGAGAGGCAGGCCGGAGCGGAGCTAGTCCCGCGCCCCGCAGCAGCTTCAACCACAGCTTTCTGCACTACACGCGGGCGACACCCGCGGCCGATCGCCACTCCCGGAGCGTCTCGGTGCCACGCCGCCGCGGGGCTCGGAACCCATCAGATCAGCCCGCGGCACTGCCGTACAGGCGGCACCCGCTGTCGGGGAGCCCGAGGCGGCCGCCGGGGAGCAGCTTTCGCCGCTGCCGCCGTACGCCCTCCTCCTCCTCCTCCTCCCTCTCCCTCCTCCCTCCCTCTGCACATGGTCTCCTTTGTCCTGTCGCCGCCGCAGCCGCCTCGATCTTAGCTACGCGCGCCGCGGCGGCGGCTCCCGGGCCGCTGCTCTTCAGCTCTGCCAGGTCCCCGGAGCGCACCAAGTTGAGACCTTGATCTGAGCCAGCCGGTGCCCCGCGCGCCCCGCAGAAGCTACCGGGAGAGCGCGCGGGCCGGGCCCCCTCCCTATCTCCCCGCCACCCGCCCTGGACTTGGCTGCGTTGGATGTGCGCGCGCGGTGCTGACTCCCGGCTGCCACGGAGGAGCCGGGTGTTGTTGTTGCTGCTGCTGCCGCCGCCTCTGCTTTTGCGGCTCCGGTTCGGATTTGGTTCGCGTGCCTGGGCTTTGAGACTTTGGAGAGGAATTAGCAAAACACACAGACTTGCGGACCTAGCCGGGCTGACTGGAGTTGGGCGTTTTCTCTGCTGTGGGTTTTGGTTGCTCTCTCCGGGTGGTACGTGGTGATCTACCCGGAGGGAACCCGGCGGAGGACCCAAACCATGAACTTGGGGTTGACAAGAGCGCGGAACCCCTGGCGACCAGGTAACGTTGTCCCCCCCCCACCCCTGGGGGGTGGGGTGGGGTAGCTCAATCGTCCGCCGCCCGCGGTTGCCGGGGAGGAGGCTGGGGTCGAGGGGTCTTTTGTTGCGGCCGCAGCCGGGCCAGGGTGGTAACAGGGGCGGGCTGCTGGCGTCTGGCGGGCCCGGCCTCCCTCCCCCACCCCTCCCCCCGCTCCCCTTTGTACTTTCCTGGCTCCCTGCACCCGCTGGGCTCGGCCAGTGAGCCACGAGCGCCTGCCCGGGAGCCCTGGCAGATGGAGACGATCCCACCTCCGCGAGGGGACCCATGGTTCCCCGAGGAGATCCACCAGATCCCAGGCTGGGATGCCTGCGCCCGCTTGGGCTAGGAAGGGCTCCCTGGCATGGTGCTGCCTGCTGACGGGTCACTGTCCCTGCACTGATCTCCGGATCTCCGCCCTCCCGCTTGTGCGCACGCGGAGCCCAGGGAAGGGAAAGGAGAGCCGACTGGTGCAGGAACTCACCCGCGCTTAAGTTTCCAAGAGGATTGCCTTGGCTGCTCCCGAAGTCCTTCCTCCTACTGGTGCGGCTTTTGAGAGCCACCTCGGCGATGCGAGTTTTAAGGAGATCCGGGTGCAGCTCCAGACGTCTGGGACCCACCCTTGTGCACGCGAGGTTTTTATTTTTTTTTATTTTTATCTGTTTTCCTCAGTAGCCAATTTGCTTGACTTAACTTTTTGTTCCACACCAGCTTCAGCTTCTAGAGCATAGAAAGTATTGATATAAAAGACAAGTAACACCCATCCACCATCCCGTAAAATGCCTCAAAGACCTTGCTTCTCTGGGAATTCTAGACACAGCCTCTAAGTGTATAAAACCCATCAAAGTCAATCGAGACGAGGAAACGAAATGGCACTTGATACATTAAAATCTGTGCGGCTAAAGGTACAGGGTACCCGAGAGACGAGGGAAGACACCCGGTGCGTTTGCCGCTAAACTCACCGCACCTGCATTAGTCGTTGCTAATTGAAAAAGAAAAAGAAAAATTGACTAGGGAAATGATCCAAGCCATAGAGGGAAATGTGCTATTTATTTTCTTTTAAAAGTAACAAAATGAAAACGTCTCCACGATTAAGGAGCCCAGCGATCTGTGCAAACGATTAAAAAAATACATGTTTATGTATGTGGAGGGTGTATGAGGAGGTCAGAGGACAACTTTCAGGAATCCGTCGTCTCCTTTCACCTTCATGTGGGTGCAGCGGCTGGAACTGAGATCGGCAGGCTCGACGACAGACTCTGCTGAGCCATCACACCCACCCTGCACAAACGACGTGCGAAGTGGATGAAAGTTGCTTGAACAAAGTCGAAGGGTCTACGATGAATTTGCTCCCAGTCTTTGCCTGGGAGACTCTCGAGGAATGTGGATGAAGGTGGTCCACATGGCCAGATGGCAGAAGGAGGGACCAGAGGACTCCTTTTCATCAAGCCCCGAGGCATGTGCACCTTGGGTGTCTTTGCTTTTCCAGAGGAGGCCTTTTTGAGACATCTTCTTACCCCGAGCCCCAATGACAATTCAGCACTTTGGGACTGGTATCAGTCAATTGGAGGGCTCAAAAAGCTTCCAAATTAGAAGGCATTGCTCTGAGCATCTTGCATATCCGTCAGACGTGTTTCCCTGATAACTGCTGGTCACAGCATCATCAGGTCCTCAGGGTCACTTCGCTATCTACTTGAGAGTCTACTCAGAGCCCAGTGGTGCTCACAAAGGGGACAAAACCACAGAAGCTGCCACCTCCAACCTCGTCTGCTTCTGGCTCACATACCCTACAGCAACTGTAAAAACACAACCTTAACCAGTTGCTTCCCCCTAGCTACTATGATTTGCCGTTTTGGAAGAGGAGTAATTTTTTTTTTTAAGAAACCTACTTCCTTATGCCCACTAGACTCACTGTAATAGAAAAATCCTCAATTTTTCAAGTGTCATTTTAGTTCTGTAAAATAACTGGAGACATGGGATATTGCTTGTGTGTGCATGTGTATACTTCTTTTTTTCCTTTCAAAAAATATTAACTCCATTTTAGCTTTGAAGCCATGACTTGTTAATGACCATTCTAAGAGCAATTAACAGCGTTTTAAGAACCAGGCAAACTCTTCGAATTGCTGAATTTTAAACTGCGAAACTTACAAGTGTGGAAGTCTCATTAATATTTGGATGTAGTAACACCTCTAGTGCAGCCGAAACGGTATGTGCTTTGTCAAATTCACACGTCTCCGTGGACGTCGTGCGCGATCACCGGGGCTTGGTAACTTACTATTCTCGGACTATTCGATGCTGACTACCCTTCTCAAGACTTCCTTTGTGGCTCACTTTTATGAAATGCTACTATAACATAATATAATTTCGATTAATGTTTCTTACCGTGTCAGGAAAGCTATGTGTGTATCCTATTATTCCTTCGAAAGTGTGTGTGTGGGGGGGTGGGGATCTCTGTAGGTTTTTTCACAAGTGAATGCAATTGAATACTTATTTTGTACATTTTTGCCCTTGATCCTATTAATCCTCTGAACCTACCCCTGTAGAAGAAAGATTAGAATTAAAATAAATGAGAACCAGCCATAATAAAAATAGGTTAGGTCTTTTTTTTTTTTTTTTTATCCCTGGCCTTGTGAACTGGAGCATTTCCTTCAGTTATGCACAGAAATATTTCATCTCCATCAATGTAGCATGGAAAGACTACATAGAATATCTTCTTTGTCCCCCAAAGCCAGCCCAAGTTCCCTCGCCCTGGTTCCCCATATTTCCTTCTCCTGTATTTATGGAACATCCTGTGCCTTGCTTTATACAAATTTATGCATTTCTATATAAAACATGAAAGATAAGAGTTTTCTCATATGGGTTACAGATCAAACCCAGGATGAATGCAGGTTGACCACTGGCATTTCAAAGAGGTGTCTTCAAATCAGAAGAGTGGGCTTGCTTAATTTTACCTTTTTTTCCCCTAAGTCCTAGAAATAAGCAGTAAATCTTCAACATTATCGTCTCGTTCACGAAAACGACTCACTGCTTATTTCCCGGAACATTAGTGTATGATGTAAATTGACTCTGGTCTTGCTATTTAAACAGGCTATTGACTTCCCTCGTGCCAGTGTAATAATTAGCAGACACAATCTCTGGAAACATGAAAAGGAAGTAACCCTGGTGGCATGCTGGCCAGGTTTTCAGCAGGGTCAGCCCTCATCTGAAACACTGAGGTTGGCCTGGTTACTGGGAGAAACCCTGAACACCGGGGTCATCAAATACATCTTTAAAAACATTAATTTTGGGGGTGCACTGGTTGATCCTTTAGTGAAGAAAGGCTTAATGTCCAAAAATACACATTTATGATTTGTGGCAGAAAATTAAAAAAAAAACAGAAAATCTGGTAGCAAAAAAAAGGTCATTTCCAAAAATAATGATCTGTTAATGGAATTGGAAGATCATTTGTGAATGAGCTAAATTGTCTTGTGGGCCATTTCATAGAAATATGTTTTGCACAGATAATATGTCTAATAAGGACACATTTTGAAAATCAGATTTTTTTTCTTCTTTTCCCCCAATAAATAGCTGCAGTGCAGGCCTTTCTCCAACAGTCAACCAGCACCACCTTATGGAGGACTTGGGGAAATCACTGGCTCTTGTTATATTTTCCTAAAATATTGTCCATTGATTTAAAAATCATAGCAGCCTATGATGCTTGGGTGATGGTCTTCACTGACAGTCTTGACGCCTTCTTGTTTTCCAGGCATCAGATGCTAGCTCTGAAAAACTCTTCAACACTGTTCTTTCGAACAAAGGTAAGGCCCCTCCCCTTTATTATTCTAAGTGATGGCTTTAAAATAAATATGCCTCTCATTGTCATTGTCCAAGAAGAAAGAGACAAGGAAAATCCATGTGGTCTTTTTGCCCTCATGTTTTGTGCTTTTGCTCGCTGTGGAATCTGGATGTTTTTGAAGGATGCGGGAGAAAAAGTTCACTTTGAAAGAATTTACTGGCTCCTTGTTGAAATTGATCGGTGCTGTTAATTTCACGTAGGCAGCTGCAATAGAGAAAAATGCCTTTACAATGTCTTGATTGTTGGTTATCAACTTTCCGGCTGTCGGAGCACTATAAATAGTATGTGTGTACCTCAGATGGTGATAACCAGTGGGGGGCATTTAGTATTCACAGCATTATAGCCATAAGCCAACCCTTCTTTCTGCTCTGGGCTCTCTGTAAAGTTAACAAATGTACGAGAGGGCAGAATTTAAATACACACTTCCCCATTTATTTCTTCCAAACCTCAGTCTATAGAGTAAGAGAGGCCAATGATGCCAATGTGTATTTGGGGAGGGCTCACCCTAAGTAACCACTGGTAGGTTTCTCAGCAGTCTTCATTTGCAGAAGAGTCATTAGACACAATGACATTTAGGAGAGTCCCCATACACTGGCTTCAAAAGGTGTGTAATCTGAAAGATACAAATGATGTCAACCCACTTCCTCCTACCCACCTACCTCTCCCTCCCCCTCCCCCTTCCCACCATAGAACCTGGCTTAAGGGCTTGCAGGAGAATTGCTAAATAAAGATGTACTGGCCTGTGGCAACCTTTGTTCCACTAAGGATGCTTGAGAGCTTCGTACCAGCACTGATCAGGAATTAGGTGCCCATGGGGTGAAATGGGAGACCATTTCAGCAGTTTATCCCATTTAAAAATTTTTATCATTTTTGCTCACTAGTTAGTAAGACGTTTCTATGCATAGTTGTATTGTGCTCTCCAATTATTTTAAAATTGAACCTACCTTGATTTTTAAATAGTACATTATATTTAAAGTTGTCCCCTGGGGTCTGTGTGCTTGTAAGTTTGCTGGGACGCCTAGAATTAATGTCACGTTGAATATGAGCTTGTATTTAATTGCATGGTATGATTCCAGCTTTATATTTCATCATATTTTTTAATGGCCTGAGAAGTTTGTATAAATTTGTTATCCGTAATGCTAAAAGCCCAATAAAAGCTGATGTGGGTGCTTGACAGTGCATCTCCCTCAAGGGTGGGAGTGTACGGTTGTTTTCTGATCCTGATATTTGGAGGAAAGAATGAGTGGGCTTTGGAAGAGGTAGGTGTCCTTGATAAAAAAGGAGAGGAAATCGCAGCAGGGCAGGTCACTACCCAAAGCAGTTTCTATGATTCTCTGACCTTCCCAACCCCAGCACACCAGCCTCCAGTCACCGGGGACAGTATCTTTCTTGTGTTAAGTTGCTATGGCCCTTTCTAAGCTGGTTCTGGGTTTGGCTCTCATTGCAGCTTGAGGGAGGAGGAGGAAGACAGACTGATGGCTGAAGAGCCCCTTCTCTCTCTCCTTCATGTCTCTCCTCTCTCTTTCCCATCCCACCCCCTCCCTTGAGTTTCTAGCCCAACACTTCCCACATTCTTATTTTTGTTTACTTCCACTGAGTGATGTGTGGCGTCTATTTGGCAGTGAACAGTCATGCCCCTGACCGGGTGCCTTTCTTCTGAGCTGCTTTTCTGAGAGTAGTGAGGGGTGATTTCAGTTGCCTTGAAAGGATTAAGGTTTCTTTGTGTCTACTAAAATCAACACAGGCTTTTCTCCTAAGCTTTGCTTGGGAAACATACACAAATAAGCATTTTAGTTGATGACGGATTATTCCTTCGCCCCTTATTTCCATCAAAATGGCCTTTCTTTCCTCCCCTGGAGTTTCCCCCTTAATGCCTTATGCTAATTCCTGTTGGTAGCGTGAATGACAAGCGCCTGAATGGGTGTGCAAGTACAGGTGTTGCTGAAGTAGTAGACTACCTGGTACTCACAGCCCTTCCTCCCAGGAGAGAGAGCTTGAGTGATGCTGCAGATCTCAGACAGCATCAGCATAGTTTTCAAAGCTGCCAGATATCAGAAAACAACTACCACAAAAAGAAAAATTAAAAGAGAATCACTGGGCATCGTTGGTGTCACTAACTCCTGGGAGACGGGGCAGCAAGCCTCACTAGGCAAGTGTGGTTTGGTGTCTGTATTTTACTCCTGGTAGTAGCAGCAGCGCTTACTAGATTGACAGGTCCTTGCTAGGTCGACAGGTCCCCTGGCTGTCATCTCCTCTTACATCAGGTTCAAGTAAATCAGAGAAAGCTGGCTTGACTTAAAAGTCAGGTCTGTGCGTGTGTACATATAAGTATGTGTGTGTATGTATATATCAGACTGTGTGTGTACATGTATATATAAAACAGTACACACACACACCACACACCACACACCACACACACCACACACACACACACACACACACACACACACACACACACACACACACACACACTGTTTTAAAGCTTTGCCAGAAAGGACAGGTTTAAGCCAGGTAATAGACACAGACACAGCTGGGACATTCTTAAAGGCCTCCTCTCATGGAACAATTTTAACGAGAGTTTTAGGGAGTCCCACACTGGCATTCTTCAGAGCCAGATGTTCAAAGCTGCATATCACTCCCTTGCCCTCGCAGAAGCCTGGCAGCCTTCTGGTCTCAGAGTAGCAGGCTTAGCTGGGAAGGTTATGCCTCCAAGCCTGGTGGTCTGGTGGGTGTGTAGATTTGGTTCATAAAATTTCACTGTTGGAGGGCAGTGGTAAGCTCACAAGCTGATTGGGCCAGGGACTAGGGAATTGGCAGCTTTGGTGTTGGCCTGCTCAGCTTGGAGACAGAGCCCCAGGCTGTAACAGCAAGGGGCCGTGGCTCAAGTCCATCCCTCTGCTTGTGAGCTTGAACAAGCCATTTAGCCTCTGCAGGTCAGAATTTTCAATCCTACACAGATCTAGTTCTGGGCCAGCATATCCAGTTGGGATAAAACAGTTAATTGGCAAGGGGCATGGGTTGGAACAGACATGGATATGATGAATATGTTTTCTGTAACTTACCAATTGATCTTTATTTAAGTGTTCCCATGTTGTAGACTCAGTCCAATTCAGCAGAGTAAGACCCGAATAGGTGTTCCAAAATGTTGCTTCTTTTGATGCCTTTTATTTCCAATCTTACAACAAGTTAATCAGGTGGTGTGTGCTTGCTTATATACACAGCATACTCAATGAGAAGGGGCACCTTTCAAGAGAGGCATGGAGTCTGAGCCTGCAAATTGGAAGGATTATCGCTGTAGACTTAAAAAAAAAAGATAGCTCAACTTTAATCAAGGTCATGGTTGCCTTATCTAATCTCAATGTGTTTAAATGTTTACAGGATGTTCATGTGAATTTTATGAATCCTTCTGTCTTTGTGATTCAACCATCTGCCAAAGGAAAAATGAGTTTCCCCACTGAGACAGAAGCAGAGACTGACTTACTTATTGCCCCTGTGTTGTGAGCTGAACAGCTATGGGAGCAATAGGCTTTGTAACTCCCCAGCTTCTGGGACATGTTGTGCTTAAAAGGGAGCTTCCATGAGCTGGGGGGATGGCTTGCTAGGTAAAGTTCTTGCCTTGCAAGCATGAGGACCTCAATTTGGATCCCCAGAACCTTCCTTAAAAGCCAGTTATGGTGGCCAATCCCAGCAGTGGGGAGGCAGAGGCAGGAAGATTCTTGGGGCTCACTGGCTAGCCAGTCTAGTCTACCTGATAGCTTTCAGGCAGAGAAATCTCGTCTCAAAAACAAACAAACAACAAACCCCACCAAAGTAGAGACCTGGGAGATGAGTCAGTGGGTAAAGGCACTTTCCACTCAGGTATGGCAACCTGAATTCAGTGCTTTGAACCCATGTAAAACAGGGGGTAGAGAACCAATTCCATAAAGTGGTCCTCCGACCTTCGCACATTTGCCATGGCACCCCACAGGTGCCCAAAAGAGCACACACTAACAACAACAACAACAACAAGGTAGATACAGATGAGGAAGACACCTGATATCAACTTTTAAGTTCCCACACGTGCAAACATGTACACACAATACACTAGACACACTCACACACGCACATACACAAAGGAATTTTCTAGTTGATTTAGCATGGCCAATATTACCTTTTGTTTCGCTGTGTAGTCCTGGCTGTCCTGGAACTTGCTCTGTAGATCAGGCTGGCCTCAATCTCACAGAGATTCACCTGCTTCTGCCTCCTCAGTGCTGGGATTAAAAGCATGTGCCACCACTGCCTGGCTATTATTTATTTATTATTTTATTTGGTTTTTCAAGACAGGGTTTCTCTGCATAACAGCCCTGGCTGTCCTGGAACTCACTTTGTAGACCAGGCTGCCCCCCCTTTTTAATATTTACTTTTTATTTTTGATTATTTAGCTGTGCTTGGGTTTATGCACATGGGCGCAGTGCTCAGAGAGGACAGAAGAGGGCATCAAATCAGCGTAGCTGGAGTTGCAGGTGCTCTCTGAGCTGCCTGAAGTGGGTTCTGGGAATCGAATCAAGCCCTCTAAAGAGCAGGATGCACTCTTAACTGTTGAGCCATCTCTCTTTTCCCTGGTCTCCTTTCTCACTTCCCAGAGCTCCTCCTTGGCAGTTTGGTCAGCTGGATGCATAGGCAAATGCACACACATCCACCCTGCCAAGATAATTAATCTCTTCTAAAGCCCTTAGGTTGCTGTAGATCAGTGCTCCCCCAGGAGGGAAGGAAGCTCTGCTGTTTCCCAGCCTGGTTGTGGGTCCTGTCTCAGCTAGGAGATGAGGACAACCACCTCATTTAGCCTTATAGCCCTTCCCCAGGATTCCTAAGATGAAGGAGGTGTGTGTGACCTGGGGTCTTTCTCACCCGTTTCTGCCTTTGTACCTGTTTCATTAACTTCTCCTGGGCACCAGCAACTGACCAAAGTAATGAATGGTTTCA